GGCTCAAAAACAAAGAGCGGGAAACGCATCTCGGTGTAAAGGCCCCGAGTTCAGTCCTCAGTAGTACGTGCGCGCACACAGGCATACAATTAAAAATAATTACCCCAATACAAGAAAACTACAGTGCACTTATTTATTTAAAATAATACCATAACCAAAAAACCCAAAATGAAATAAAGTACCTTTCTCATGCTGTTCTAGGTTGCACCCTACTATAGATGGTCCCTCTTTCTGGACCCTGGGAGTAAAATACCCAGTGAACGTTTATATTTTTAAAAATTCTTTGAATAAAAGACACGCTGCCATCAATTTCCCTCGCTACACACGTACTTAGCACATTGTTCCTGCTACTTTCCGAAGCAGTTCTGGAAGCGCTCGTTCGTTTCTTTGCCAGGTATGATAAAAAACAGAGTGCTGCTGCCAAGCGCCCACCAGCAGAAGATAGGCTCCCTCCCGGCGTCCCCACCCACTACCTACGAGATCTGCACTGTGGGACTCCGGTTCTTCCCCAAAGTCCAAATAACCATGAGAGGGAACCACGTGGAGCTGCTTTCAGGACACTAAAGCAGCAAGGACAGCACAATGACAGCCAGCCCCTCAGGGAAGAGGACTCCAGAACTACTTCAGAAAGTGGGGAGAACCATGGGACAAGCGAGGAGCACTTGGCATGGAATTAATGGAAAAGCATTTTTTACTTTAGTAAAAATTTTTATTGAAACATTCACCATATTTTTCAACTACACCACACACTTGGACCCTACAAGGTCACCCGGACACATGGCCCACGCAGAATTCCTCTAGGGCCCAGGCCACTTGTTTCACAAGTAAAACTACAACACGCACAGCGGTCATTCACACATACAAGAATAGAAACGGGTCTCAGGGATGACGCAGTTTCCCCAGTGTGATTAATGTAAAGTTTAGAAGCATTACTAGGATATTCTAAATAAAATTTAAAATGGCAAAATTTTACTCTTGATTCTCCTGCCCTGAACATTTCTTTATATTCAAAGCTGCCAAGTCCACCGTGCTAAGAACAGACCTCTGAGTGCTCTAGGGATTAATGTGAAGAGGTGAGCTCCTGGCAAAGAAAAACACTGTCCCACGCGGTGCGTTACGTTCCCATTCAGGAGACATTTCGGAGCGGGCTTGAGTAAGAGCGCCTGGAGCCCTTGACGGCTGCAGCGAGCAGGAAAGATGGACTTGGGGCGCTCATCGTGGGGGAATAATCTGCGTCCTGCCCAGCCCAGTTCTGGAGCAAGGGCTGGGGAGGGTGGCCCAGGACGCTTGCTGCTCTCTTCTCTTCACGCAAATACCCCTGTTAAGATCTTCGCTGCACTGGCAAAGTGAAAAGCAGAAATTGTATCCAAATTTACAATATATTTCCAAGTTGCTTTCCAATTAGAACAATTTACAGCTGCCCACGATGTTTATCAGTCTCAACACTATCATCTATGATTGAATACTGTTTTATTTTTATCTTTATCAAATTAGTAGACATAATGGTAATTATTTTCATTTCCTGTTTGACAAACTTTTGAAAAGAGTAACTGAAATCATTATTTATTAGTTCAATAATTGAAAAATTTAGCAATTGAAAATTTAGTAATTATAGGCATAAAGCCAGATCTATTTGTTTGTGTCTTATTTATGGCTGCTTCATTCTCTATAGTGCATGTTCTAGAACATTCCCTTTCTGTATCCTTAGTAATAGAGCTTGATTAATGCTATTCTAGCTTTAAACATTACTGTATAAAATACATACATAAAAATATACTATTTTTCCAGCCACAGAATTTTAAAATGTTTGTGCCTATTTCTTGAACATTTTCCTAACTATAACTTTAAGGAAAAAATTCCTTTGAAATTTACAATTCACCATCCTGTCAAACTAATACCCAGTTTCACTTTTATAATTATTTTCACATAATTTTTGACTGGTTATATAACACAAATGCAAATTATTCTGGTCTGATTTGGCTTACCTTGATTAATGCCTACATGTAAAATTTGATAGTGGCAATTCAGTAATATTGTTTAAAGAGAAATTTATTTCTAACACAATGTCTTATCGATATGTCCCTCACTGTTATTTACCTATGCTAATAAAGTCATATATTAAAAACTTGAGTCCGGGTGAGCTAGCTCATGCTTATAATTCCAGCACTAGGGAGGCAGAAAACAGGAGGATC